GTTTATTTACAAAACTAATTAATTCCGAAAAAGATGGAAGTGAATTTTGATCCCGATTTTCTTCAAAAAGCCTCCTAGTATGCGCATCCAACCCACGTAAGGCTAAATGACAAAATAAATAGTCATGTAAATTTTTAATTTTTAATGCCTCGATGGCTTTAAAAGAGTGATCGAATGTTTCGATAAATAAAGTAAGATTTGCGGTAGTATCTTTATTTAACGGCGTAAAGTTTATCATTTTGTCGATGTACCTACCCACGAGTATTCGATCATCTTGATATTTATTACATAAACTTTGCCATACGACAGTATAATTAGCGGCTGTTATGGGCAATTTTTTAACAATGTTTAATGCCGAACCTTTAACACATGAAAGCAAATAGTGAAACTTATCTATTTCATCGAAATCTCGATTGTGGACAAGTGATACAAATGTATCGTAGAATGTGGTCCACTTCTCAATATCACCATCGAATTCAAATAAACGTAATTTAGGTAATGACGGCCTTACATCACTCCTATCTTTCCTACTGAGGGATGCCTGCTCGTCCGGTTTTAATCTTAAATATTGCAACCTACATGCCTTATAAAGTTCATCAAATGTATCTAATTCTCGCGTTGACAATCTTGTCTCCGGTTTTAATGATATATCTATTTCAATAATATTTAACACTGTTTCTTCAAACTTTGAGCGGACACTTTCTAATTCGGAATAATCGGCTAAGAAATTCTGAATTTGTGTGGGATCATTTATTTGGGATCTCGCGATATCGAAAACCTTTTGTAATTTAGCAAATAGGTATTCCTTTTTAAAAATAAGTGTTTGCCTTTTTATTTGTAATTTATCCGACATTATGAACAAATTACAAAATTAATACTTTATAAACGCACCGCGAGCAATGGACATCCAGGTAAAAAAGAGGCAAATTAAATAAGGGATATTAAATTAATTAAATGCGTAGTTTTACTCAAATATATGACGTCCACGGGACGCGAATTAAGGGTAGAAAATTATTATTCGAAGATCACTAATTCGAATATATGCGGCTCGAAGGCCAGAAATGTGGCGGATTGGGATTATTTTACTAGATATAGTGGACTGTATTGAGAATCTAAATCCCCTGAAACGTTCAGTTACCGCAGTCACAAAATCACACCAAAAACAGCAACAAACTACTCACGGTCTTACTAGCCAGCCTCCCAAGATCAGCAAACGTTGACAGCTCCTGGTAGCTTCTTCTACACGGTAGAATACACTAGCAATTAGATTGTACACGGTACACTCTGGAGTAGTCCCTTTTTAAAGTTTTTGGAGAGATGTTCACATCACGAACACAAAGAGAATGTGTGTGGCTTGTCTCGCCTCCTACCCTCCTCTTCTCTTTTTTTTAACTCCACAGATTATTACAACGCATATTACGTCGCAATGTTGCCACTAGGTGTGACCGGCGCTCCGATCGTAGCAGATCATTGTGCCTCGGTATAAATTTTGTGAGTTGCGGTTTATTACTGAACAAATTAAAAATTTCATTTTGGAAAGTACTTATATACCTTTTTCCGACCAAAAACAAACTCAGCTGATGGGCCAGTTACCTCCTTCTAGAGAAAAGTAAAGCAGAACCCACTCATGTAGAGGTGTGGATGCAGGAACAGGAACATAAGGGTTTCAAAAGGTCATTTACATGCCTACCCGTGCAATTTACATATAAGGACGCTGTAAGCGACATGAGCTTTGAAAGATTTTCGTCTGTGATAAGGCTATTCACGGCACGATAAAGTCACTGCATGGAATTATTTAGTGACAATGACACTGATTTTGTGGGTGCAGCTCGCGAACTCAAATAACTGGAATGATTGGCACCACAAGATACAAAGTGGCATTTTAAGCTCCTAATTTCGTGATATATGGGAAGCAGACATTACATCAACCAATTTTCATTTAAGAAGGGTTATTGGAAACTCTACATTAACCTATGAGGAGATATTATCTCTAATAGTTCTAACTTAAATTGAGGCTTCAAGGCCAATGACATCTATAAAAGATGATAAAGTTGAGTATTTCGTTTTAACTCTAAGTCGTTTTCTTGAAAGAGAGCCTGCACTAGATTATCAATACGACACTTGCATTAAACTGTTACCACGAAGGCCATGCCAGTTCATGATACACGTACAGGGTTTTTTGAAACAATAGTCTCAGGAATGCTTGAGAATATGTTTTATGCAAAGATACAAATAGGCGCATTCCAACCCTGAAACAGAAGTTGGAGATGTTGATTTAGTGAAGGAAAAAAGCGCTTTGACAAACACTGACAGTGCAATAATTTAAAATATGTATGTATATATGTACATATATGAACATTTTTTGGAAATCTGTTGCCGAAATTGTTTTTAATCAATGGAACAATTTAGCAGTAAATTATCAGTTAACTTGTTTCACCGCAATAGTAACACGAACAAGATAGAACATAACAGATGTAACAGAGTTAAATGTCACACAGTCACATTTTACAGACAGCTTCCATCACAGTTCCTGTCCAAACTTATTGGGAGATCATCATTATCAATACAGCCCTTCACAAGTCCACTGCTGAACATAGGCTTTTATCAAGGAATGCCACAAAACACGGTCCTGAGCCACCTGCATCCATAAACTTCCTGCATGTCTTACCTGATCGTTACTCCATCTAGTGGGGGCTGCCCCACATTTTATTTCATTTATGTTTTGTTTTATAGAATAACGGTGACAAATGAGCACAGTCCACCTAATGATAAGTGGATGCTGTGGCCCATAAATATCTTAATTTTTCTTTAATTAAGAATCAAAATTCAGATGCGTTGTCCCCTGAGAACTGAGATGTAATGCCTCGTTTCAAGTAAAAAGGGTCTCCGGTTCTCTACACTCTCCATACGAAACAAAGCAGCATTAAGCTGCTATTTTACGCTGGTATTCTGTGAGATCGTGGTCCTACCCCGGTCAAGTCGACCCATTCGTGCTGCAACCAAAATATAGCTGCAGCATGGCTCTACCACGTAAAAAAATCATTATTTCATGCCAGCCCACCGCCTGCAACTTTACAAGGCGTAAGTGCAGCTTCACATAGAATAGTGTGCCCTTCTCTGGACCGGGGCTCTCCAGTGCCAGCTCCTTCCATTTGATCGCATCCAGCGCAGAGTGGTTCGAGTCGTTGGAAACCGAGCTCTTTCTGGTCGGCTTGACTCACTGGCTTTGTGAACAGACGTTGCATCCCTTTGCGTATTCTATAGTATCTAACACGGAAAGTGCCCAAAGGAATTGTTTGGACTAATTCATGGTGCTCAATTTTGCCATTGCCCCAGGCGAGGATGAGTCTGTCTCTCTGTCTGTCTGTTTGTTCCGGCTAATCTCCGAAACGGCTGGACCAATGTTGACCGGACTTTCACTGGCAGATAGCTGATATTATAAGGAATAACTTAGGCTACTTTAATTTTAGAAAAAGCATTAGGGTTTCGCGCAAAAAATTTAAACCCATGAAATGCAATCATAATAAACTATGCGAGCTAGTATATCATAAAATGCCTATCCATTAACGCAGATATGTTAGAATACTCTGCACTCTTTTCACTATCCTTAACGATCCTTGTGCTCCTGAGTACTTTAAATCTAGATTTCAGTACCTAGGAGATACTCATAATTGTTTTCTCCGTTCTTCGGATAATCTAAAGTTGCTAACACCTTTACACCGTACTGATTTTATGTCCCACTCTTTCGCTCTAACAGCTACAAGACTCTGGAAAGAAATACCTCTTGACATTAAGAAAGCTTCCAAAAAGTTTCTTTTTAAGAACAAATTTCGTGAACATTTTAGTAAAGCTTTGCAAGTGTGAATTACCGCTTTTCCCTAAAGAATGATTCTATCGCCACATATTTTCCTTATTTATCATGGCACAGATATATGCGAGATACAGCGGAGGCGTGGAGCAGAAGTGCGGTGGTCTTGTTCTTCAAGAAAGGCGACAACGCTCTCTTGAAGAACTACAGACCGATTTCCCTTCTAAGCCGCGTCTACGTGCTGTTTTTGAGAGTCATTACGAATCGTCTCGCACGCAGACTTGACTCGTGCTACAGCTATACTATAAATATAACTGCAGCATGGCTCTACCACGTACAAACATTTCTTATTCTTAATTGAGAATAAATGTAGGTACATGTCAAAAGGCTAACAGGATCCACTTACATTCAGGTAGACTGTTTTGGTCGTTTGACACCCTTATTTTAAAAAAAAGATTTATTATTTGTAAATTTTCTAACTTATTACGGAAGTCCTGCGCATTGTCTATCACAGCAGACATCTTGCACATTTGACGATGTTCTTCATGGCTGTGGCCTAGATATTTTACATCTAGTATTTTTGCGTGATTGTAATACCGCCACCTATCGAAAGCCGAAAGACCTTTATGACATTTCCTAAAGTTTATCTTACCCATAGGAATAAATGCCGTTTTAGATCATCTTAGACTGATTTTATTTTTAAGCTAAATAAAATAACTTTGGTATTTTTTACTGTCTCAACAAACGGGCACGGCTACAATTAAGTTTTTTTTTTTACTAATATAAGCCAATTCTTGATTACTATCCCACCCGATGGTAAGTGGTGATACAGCAGAAGACGGTAAATTTAACGAAAACCTATTTACTCTTCTTTTGAAGACACCCACATTATAATCGGATGGAAAGATAGATGCTGGCAAGTTATTCTATTCTTTTGCTGTACGCATTTTGAACGAAGCAAACTATTTGGTTGTAGAGAATGTAGAGGAAGGAAGGAGGAATGTTTGTATTTTAATTAAGTGTATTTTGGTTCTAAAATAGAATAGAATTTCTTTTTCAATATAAGTTACGCTGAGAGAGAGCTCATACAGTGACGAAAATTTGTTTTGTTTTGAAATTAGTTTATTGATGTACTTTGAAATTTGATTGCAAGCGATTGAGGCAGTTAGAGATAAAAAAAGAATAATCTCACCGATTATACTGAGCCATGCGCGAGTTTCATTCTTGATATCTTCCTTTGAGAGACCTCGTAGGGCCATAAGAATGCGTAGATTGTCCTCACCAGTTCGGAAGTTGTCAAAACCAAAAGATTGGGGACTGTAACCCAGTCCACGAAGATACTGCATGGAGTATGAAATATGCAAAAAATAAAAGATCAGAGAGCTATGATATAGATTAGTAACATGGTCGTATCGATCTCTCATTAAAAGTATGTACCTCAGCGGGGTGAGCATCAGCGAAATATCCATTAGCATATATAGTTCCTCTTGTAGGATACTCTTGGCGTGTGATCACTTTGAAATTGGTTGTCTTCCCGGCGCCATTTAAGCCAATAATACCGAAGCATTCTCCTGCATTAACAAAACGATTAAGCCGTTGTGTAAATATGAGTCGTTATAGGACAGATTTGCATTTATGCGACGATGTTTCTGAAGAAACTGCATCCAACTCACTCCAACCTTAACGCTGTCCATTACCATCTAGAGATGGCGAAGCCGGCCTTGCTCTTTTTAACCGACCGTGATACTCGGTGATTTTAACGCCTAACACGCTGAATGGCTTGGTTCCCGTTTAACCGATCATACGGGTAGATCTGTTTGTGACTTTGCTTATATTTACTTATGGTCTAACACAACTGGTTATTTCACCTACGGGGATCCCAGATGTGGAGGATCATGTACCTTCCTTGTTGGACCTTCTGCTGACCTCTCATCCGGACGGATATCAGGCCACCGTCGATGCTCCTCTGGGCTCTTCGGACCATTGTCTGATCCGGAGTATGGTGCCACTCACGCTCCCATCGCAGTTGCGATCTGCAGCTTGATGCCGTGTTTGGCACTATAGGTCGGCCGATTGGGGCGGGATGCGGTCTTTTTTTGCACCCTATCCTTGGGAGCGGATATGCTTCTCGCCGGAAGATCCCAGCGTTGTTGCCGATTTTGTTGCTGATGTGGTACTTCAGGGAATGGAACTTTTTATTCCATCCATCCAGCCATGGTTTGGTCGCTCTTGTAAAATAGCATCACGCTATATGCAGGAGTGCTACCGGGCCTGGGCTAACGGATTAACGTCTCGGAATGTAAACACCAGCGCTCTTAAAAAGAAGTATAATTCCGCCTCCAGGTCCTTCAAAAGCGTCATTAAGATCTGACCACATCGGTAGAATTGGCGAGAAGCTAGTTCGCCTTCCTTCGGCAACCCGTGCATTCCTGTCTCTCGCCAAGGCTGTCCAAAAGAACTTCTGTCAGCCATCTCTTCCATCTCTGACGACTCACTGGCCCATGCCGCAAAGGAGAAAGCCGGTTTGTTGAGCTCTTTCTTTGCGTCCAACTCGACTCTAGATGACGGGGGGAACACACTGCCGACTATCCCGCGGTGTGAGTGCTCCATGCCAGATGTGCGGTTTACACAGCACTCGGTTTGCAAAGCACTCTTCTCCCTGGACGTCAGCAAGTCGAGTGGGCCTGATGGAGTCCCCCCCCCCCCGCCATTGTGCTGAAGACGTGTGCTCCGGAGTTGGCACCGGTTTTAACGCGTCTTTTCCGGTACTCCTACTCCCAAGGCACAGTCACGAATTCATGAAAGACAGCCGTTTAGTCCACCCGATCCCTAAAAAAGGCGACCGCTCAGACCCGTCCAACTACAGGCCTATCGCCATCACCTCCTTGTTCTCCAAAATAATTGAATCCATTATAAACTGCCAGCTCATGAGGTACCTTGAGGATCACCAGCTAATCAGTGACCGCCAGTACGGCTTTCATCGGGGTCGATCAGCTGGTGATCTTCTGGTCTACATGACTCATAGATGGGCGGAGGCAGTAGAGTCCAAGGCCTTCGATGGGGCTCGGCACAAAGCGCTTCTTTCGAAGCTTCCTTCCTATAGGTTTCCCGAGAAATTTTGCAAATGGATCACCAGTTTCCTTGCTGATCGGAGCATCAAGGTCGTAGTAGACGGTGCATGCTCTGATTTCAAGCCTATCAACGCTGGTGTTCCACAAGACTGCGTGCTATCACCAACGCTGTTTCTTCTGCATATCAATGATATGTTGCAAACTGGTAACATTCATTGCTATGCAGACGACAACACTGGTGATGCCTTATATACCAGCCGTGGCAATATTTCTCGAGAAAACGTCGCCGAATACCGGAACAAACTTGTGTCTGAAGTCGAGTCTTTGCTGAACAAAGTCTCGGATTGGGGGCGACTAAATCTAGTCCAGTTCAATCCCCAGAAGAAACAAGTTTGCGCGTTTACCGCTAAAAAGAACCCCTTTGTCGTATCTCCTCAGTTTCAAGGCACTCTCTTGCTACCTCAGCTAGCATCGGAATCCTCGGCGTCGACATATCGAATAGTGTGCAGTTTCGTGGTCACTTGGAAGGGAAGGCCAAACTAGCCTCTAAAAAGCTTGACGTGCTTAGTAGAGCGAGACAGTATTTCATGCCGGCACATCGCTTGCAACGTTACAAAGTTCGGCCTCACATGGAATACTGTTCTCATCTCTGGGCCGGGGCACCCCAGTGCCAGCTCCTTCCAGTTGACCGCATCCAGTGCAGAGCGGTTCGAATCGTCGACGACCGAGTTCTTTCTGATCGGCTCGATAAACTGGCTCTGCGTAGGGATGTTGCATCCCTTTGCATTTTCTATCGAATTTACCACAGGGAGTGCTCTGAGGAATTGTTCGGATTAATTCCAGCCGCTAAATTTCACGAACGCACATCGCGTAAAAATTCACGATACCATCCTCACCATCTGGATGCTTGGCGGTCCACGACTGTACGTTTTACTAGGAGTTTTCTTGCTCGTACAACTTCTCTGTGGAATTGTTTACCACCGGCGATTTTTCCGGACCGATACGACTTAGGAACCTTCAAGAAAAGAGCTTACACCTTTCTAAAAGGCCGGCAACGCATCTGCAATTCCCCTGGTGTTGCGGTTGTTCATGGGCGGCGTTAGTTACTTAACATCAGGTTAGCCGCATGCTCGTTTGCCCCCTCTTATATAAAAAAAACAATAGTGATTCTATTGATTCTCAACAAACACATCCCTCGCTGCGCATCCACGCACATCTCTCGTGGAAACGCAGCCTAAAGCTGCTATTTTACGGTGGTATTCTGTGAAAGCATGGTCTTTCCCCGGTTGAGCCAACAAACTTGTGCCACAACCATAATACAGCTGCAACTTGGCTCTACTACGTTCAAATGACTTAAAAAGTTAAAAAATGCACATTATTTTTGGAAATTACCTTCCTTTACGGAATAGTTGAGATCCTTTAAAGCAAACGTAGGTTTTTCAAATAGTTTAAAATATGCCTTCCATGTTCGGCTTACGAGCATCACCTCTTTTATGGTTCCCTTAGCTATAAAATAAAAAGAAAAATGTTCAGTAAAATTTCAGGCTTATCTATACAAATAAATAAAATTGAAGTGTCTGTTTGTAATGTCAAAATTACAGTTTTTTTACTAAATGCATATGAAAGTAAATACGATACCTATAACTAAAATACAATTTTTAAAATTTTTGTCTTTCTGTCTGTTTGTTCCGGGTAATCTCCGAATCGGCTGGACCGATTTTGACGGGACTTTCACTGGCAGATAGCTGATTTCATAAGGAGTAACTTAGGCTATTTTATTTTAGAAAAAGAATCAGGGTTCTGCGCAGAAACATAAAAACCCTAACACGCGAACGAAGTCGCGGGGAACAGCTAGTCACACATAAAATTGTTAAATTCAGTTTCAAATACTGATTTATAACTTTTCTTTTTATAGGATAAGGGTGACAATCGAGCACACAGTCCACGTGATGGTAAGTGGTTGCTGTGGCCCATAGACATCTTCATCTACCCTCTATTACAAATCAAAATGCAGATTGTCACCCGTGGGGACTAAGATGGAATTCCTCATTTCCAGTAAAAAGGGTCTCCGGTTCTCTACACTCACCATACGAAACAAAGCAACTTTTCTAAAACTGATAAAACAAATAAATTTACATTTCACCACACGTACTACACCACTTACCACTATGTGTGATAAGTGGCTACTTTAGACGCGTTTATAGTAAAATAACATTAATTTGATAGAACTTTGATGTTTTATCGTTATATATAAAAATTACGTGTCACATTGTTTGTCCGCGATGAACTCCTAAACTATCGAACTGATTTCAATGAAATTTTGCACACTGTGTTCAGTTTGGTGCAACTTGAGATATAGAATACTTTTTATCCCGGTAAGTGACCTTCAATATTTTTATATTGCGAATTTAAGGATTTTTTCATGGACAGAGTCGTCGGAAAAGGCGGAACAACGTCTGCCTGGCCAGCTAGTCAAATATAAAACAAATATTCCTCATCATTTATCCTTTCAAAGTAATTTTAGTTCAAAATAATCGTAATAAATTTTATGTTAACTAATTACTCATCCCCATTTTTATCCTCAACACGAACTCAGTCTATAAGACTAGGTTTTCAGTTCAGGTTCAGTAATAGAGACTGTGCCAGCTGGAGGCTACTTTTAGAATGAAGCGAAATCCAATAATGGAGCTCCCTTACTTGCCTCTAATAAATACCGTTTGTGCGTGCAAATTTGGAAGATTTCGAGATCGATTAAAAACATCCGTTAGCCGTATACGGTACGGCCTTGATGTTACATACATAGTACATAGTACACTATACATTTTGTACAGAACACTTCTATATTATATGTATTGTACTATATATATTATATAATCTATAATCGGTCGTGGTTTCGAATCCGCCATTCGCCTACTGTCGTGAACCACTCCCTAATTCAAGCATTTTAAACTTACCAGAAATGGTTAAATGGAATATTAATAATGATATTTTTAAACTATAATATGACGCCATATTACTGTACTAACATCTTATGATTGTGTTACTGACGTACTGCTTCTCTTCAGCAACATCAGAGCTATCATACTTTCTGGTGGGCAGTACAAGCGTACGCCTTTTTTCCACCTCACTCCATAACCGACTTATTAGTCGATATTCAAGCAGGAGTACTAGGCTCTAAAAGCAAGTTTCATTATTATCTTTTTTGATTCGTAAATAACTAAAATAATAAAAAAATGATAAAGAAAGAACAAAAACTTAAAAATTTTCAAAACCCCCGTAACGAAAAGAGCTGATGATCTTCAAACGGCTGAACAGATGTTCTTGAAACATGGCTTAGAATACTCACAATTAAGGCAGTTTTTAAACAAAATAAAACTTAACTTTTTAAAAAAAGACACACAGAAACACAGATACGCAAATATACATACACACGGATACACATTTTTTTTATTCTACTAAGCCAGCGCTTATCTACAATCCCAACTGATGGTAAGTGGTGATGTAGCCTAAGATGGTAAAGCGCACTGACTTAACAAAAGCCTATTCTATCTTACCTTGAAGACACCCACACCCACACATATACACAGATACACACTACAAACATATACTCGTAACACCTCTCTGTATTTGTCGGAGTAAAAAAAGGAAAAAAAGGGCTCAGCTTGTGCTGTAACGGTGTCGACATCCTGCTTAGCGCTGAGCTCTAACTATTTCTGTCACCACGAGATGTTGTGAAGAACAGTGGCGTAGCAAAAAGGAGCCAGGGGGCCATAGCTCCAGCCGGCAGATATTAGCGGACGGCATATTAGGATAGAAGTCAGTTCCCCTTTACTTTTTAAATGATGCCAGTAACAATTTCTAAAAATCAGAACAATAGCTGTGACTTAAAAAAATTTAATGTTTTGATAATTTGCTACGTACTTGCTAAAGGTAATAATAATTATAAAATACATTATAATATTGCTTTATTCATATTTAAATGAATTAAATTGACTACACATAGAAATCTTTTAACGATATATACATAATATATTATTTTATTTTTATTTATTCTTATTTATTCAAAGTGGAACAGCTAACAGCTACATTATATATATTACATACAGATAGTACAGTAACATTAATATACGCAATAATGCAGCCCACAGTGCTGTTCACAGATTACCTCTTGAGATAGATGATTAAGACGCTAGGAGACCTGCAGCTGTACAGAACGTATTATATAAGTGTCAAAGTATGGTTAGCAATGATATTATAATGTGACTGAGGTGACAAATTATTATTTGAAAAGTGTCTTATATAAAAAACCACGAAACCTTTCCGTTGAGCATGTGAAAATATCTATATGCTCGAAGGTCTCATTATATGTGGCAACCATACGTCGAATCGGTGAACGTATACCGGTATTGGATCGACAGGCACTTACGGCAAAAAGTTTACCCGCACGCACCTGTCGTCTATGGACAGTTCTGGGGACCGCATAACATAACACATTATTTAACTCAATACAGTCAAACTTGCATCTTACTATATGGAAAAGTGTCATAGCCTCTAATTGCTTACGTCTAGATTCGAGGGTTAGAAGTTTGTATCTACTGAGTAACTGGTCATATGGTAGATAAGATTTATGACATCTATAATGCATTGCACGTAGAAACCGGCGCTGAACATTTTCAATTTTGTGTATATATTTATTATAGTAAGGATTCCAAATAGGCACAGCATACTCAAGTTGAGAGCGAACTAGGGTTTTATATAAACAAAGATATGAAGAGGTCCGTTTGAAGTCGCGAGTTGATCTCATAATAAATCCATATAATTTGTATGCTTTGTTTACAATTTGTTCAATATGTAAGTCTAAGCACAGTTTTGAATCAAACAATATACCAAGGTCTCGCGTAGAATCCACTTTAGCCAAAGGAATGTTACACAGTGAGTACGAAAATTTTATAATATTCTTGTTTTTAGTAATACTGAGATATTTACACTTCGGAATACTTAACTGAAGTTTACTTTTGTAACAATAGTCTGTCAGTCTATCCAGGTCCTCTTGGAGAAGAATGCAGTCTTGTGTAGTATGGATAGATTTATAAACTTTAAGATCATCTGCATATAATAGAAATTTAGAATTGAGAAAACAGGTACTTATGTCATTGATAAACATTACAAACAACAGAGGACCGAGAATAGATCCTTGAGGTACACCGGAGGTAACCATCGTAACGTTAGAGTGGTATCCATTGATTACAACCCTTTGACAACGGTTAGTGATATAAGAAACAAACCATCGTAAAAGATTACCCCGAATGCCATTGTAAGCTATTCGATTTAGTAACATTTCGTGGTCCACCTTATCGAAAGCCTTTCGAAAGTCTGTATATACTGCATCACTACGTCGCCGAGTACCGGAACAAACTTGTATCTGAAGTCGAGTCTTTGCTGGACAAAGTCTCGGATTGGGGGCGACTAAATCTAGTCCAGTTTAATCCTCAGAAGACACAAGTTTGCGCGTTTACCGCTAAAAAGAACCCCTTTGTCGTATCTCCTCAGTTTCAAGGCACTCCCCTTCTTGCCTCAGCCAGTATCGGTATCCTCGGAGTCGACATATCGAGTGACGTGCAGTTTCGTGGTCACTTGGAAGAGAAAGCCAAATTGGCCTCTAAAAAGCTTGGCGTGCTCAGCAGAGCGGGACAGTATTTCATGCCGGCACACCGCCTGCAACTTTACAAGGCGCAGGTTCGGCCTCACATGGAATACTGTTCCCATCTCTGGGCAGGGGCTCCCCAGTGCCAGCTCCTTCCACTTGACCGCATCCAGCGCAGAGCGGCTCGAATCGTCGACGACCGAGCCCTTTCCGATCGGCTCGATTCATTGGCACTGCGAAGAGATGTTGCATCTCTTTGCATTTTCTTTCGCATCTACCATGGGGAGTGCTCTGAGGAATTGTTCGGATTAATCCCAGCCGCCAAATTTCATGAACGCACATCGCGGCAGAACTCCCGATACCATCCACACCATCTGGATGATTGGCGGTCCACCACTGTGCGATTTAGAAGATGTTTTCTTCCTCGCACGACTTCCTTGTGGAATCGATTACCATCAGCGATTTTTCCGGACCGATATGACTTAGGGACCTTCAAGAAAAGAGCCTACTCCTTTTTAAAAGGCCGGCAACGCATCTGCAATTCCCCTGGTGTTGCGGTTGTTCATGGGCGGCGGTAGTCACTTACCATCAGGTGAGCCGCATGCTCGTTTGCCCCCTCTCCTATAAAAAAAAAAAAAAAAAAAAAAAAATCAACCTGTACGCGATTATCAACATTTTCGAATAAAAAGCTGGAAAATAATAGTAGATTGGTGGCTGTTGATCGACGTTTAACGAAACCATGCTGTTGCTGAATAATAATATTATGCAGTATGGGATATATTTCGTTATGCACAAGTCTCTCGAAGAGCTTCGACAAGGTGGATAAAATTGATATCGGGCGATATTGATCTACACTACGTTTAGATCCGCTCTTGTGTACAGGTGTGATGTAAGCATGTTTCCATACTGTTGGCATAACACCTTCAGTAATGCATTTATTGTAGATGATGGTTAGGGGTTTACATATAACAGAGGCGGTGTTTCTTAGAAAATAAGCAGATAGGCCATCAGGGCCTGGCCCCTTAGATGGATCCAGAGATTTCAGCTCTCTTAATACCTTTTCTACTTCAAAATGAAGGTCAGTAATAGTGGTATCATGGGATGCTGAATCGGCAGGTGGCCTCCACTGTGAAAGTGTAGGTGAGGGCGGTTCATAAACGGAAGAGAAGAATTCAGAAAACATGTTGCATATTGTCTGTGGATCACTTGCAACATCATCATTATATTCAACCTTAGCCGGTATTCCAGGTTTGTCACGACGATTAGAAATGTATACCCAGAAATCCTTAATATTTTTGCGTATGCTATCCTCGACAGATCCAATATATCTAGAAAAACATTTATTACACATATCCTTAAATAACGTTCTATACTGGGAAAATATCTCATAGTCTGACATGTTGTTATATTTCTTCCATTTCACCCACGCTTTACGTTTTTTTCTAAATGTGCTAATTAAAGATTTCGAAAACCAGATCGGAAAAGCAGAAGTTCTGGAGCCAACCAACGGCGTATGTTGCTTGATAATTTCGTCAATTATTCCATAAAATACGCTAAGTGCTTCTTCAGATCCCATGGGAGTAAGTATTTCATCCCAGTTAGTGGACTGTATTTTACGGTTGATGTGCGTATAGTCGGACTTATAAAAATTATACCTCTGAAGCGTCCGCCTTTTCATTGGAACAATATCAACATAGAGAGCTATTTCACAGATAAAGGGTGGATGATATGCGTCAATAGGAAGTAGGGGACTCAACGCGGCCAATACCTTACACGAGCGGTTTGATATGCATAAATCAAGTATTTTGTTTTTAGTATTCACTACGTGGTTGTATTGCGCAGCATCTAGAAATGAGATTAAATTATATAATAGGTTATTGGTAACGGATGAGCCCACCCCACTGCCATGTAAAGCGTCTGTGGTTCCTCGTGTCCACGTTACATCTGGGAGATTATAGTCGCCCAAAATATAGAAGCATTCGACATCAGGATCACACAGTACCTCTTGTAAAGTTTCAAAATGAAGTTCGTATACGGTAGAGGGTGTTTTTGGGGGTATGTAAGCAGCACTGAAGACATGGCGCTTTGAGGTTTGCTTACTAGGAACTTCGATGATGACATGTTCGATAAGGTTATGCAATGAAAAATTTACACGAGTCAAAGACACGTTTAACTCAGATGATCTGAGTGTACGCAAAACCGCAATCAGGACACCACCCCCATCTAGTTTATTCATGCTGATACGATCACGGTCGCACCTGTACACAATATAGCGTTGATCGATAAACTCATTGTTGCTAATTTCAGATATCAACCAAGTCTCGGTAAGTACGATGATATCATAGTTACTGTTTAAAATGTTCATATAAAGTGTGTGTAATTTTGTACGGAAACCTCTGCAATTTTGGTAGTATAAGGAAAGTTGCTTGCTAACTATTACGAGTAACTGAGAATAAACATGTACATATTAACAGAAATTGTGCGTGCAATGTCTATTTGAATAAGAGCGTTTTCGATTACGATGTTCAAGTCTTTAAAAAAATAATAAGAATATTGTACCTTATTATAGCACAATATATCAGTCACGCAGCAAATACGCACCCGCAATTCCCCATGAAGAAATAATTCAAAATATAGCTTCAAAAAGTTAATAATAATTACAAAAACATGCATGCAAAATAAAAAAATCAAGAAAACTTTATAATTAATATTACACCACACTGTTACAGCCCACCGGTTAAAATATTTTGTTGATACATAATATACAACATAACAACCATACTTACACCTGTTAAATTTAAGGGCTGACATATTTATCATATACTCATAAATTTTTAATTTGTTTATAATACTACAACAGACAAGTAACACAATATCGCAGTAATTAAAATGATTGAAAAACTCGTAACTTATCAAAGTATAACAACATATGGCAACATAGAGACCAAGACGATTACATAATAATAAACCTAGGAATAACATACAATTTAGTAACACAAGTATGTTTATAAATTTATAATTGAAGGGTTATTTTTAATTTTGACGTAAGGCACACTTATTTTATGTTTAAACAAGTTTACTTTATATATAGTTATCACACCAAACGATTTTATTAAAGCACTATCACAATCAATGTTAATATATAATTCATAAAATGAAAAGTTCAACAAAGTGTAACATAGTGCAATAATACCATATAACCCTACTAACGTAACATAGTATAAGGAAATTTTTATTGCAAAAGTATTAAATATTTTATTTGACGTGTTGTTTGCATTTTTGGATGAGAGAGCGATAAACATCATTAATAAAAACGTATAATACAGAATGACACCTAATGAAGAAATTAGGCGAGATATATGGTAGGGAGAGTAATGATACTAATGAAAAGTATTGTTATTACTAGTAGAACTACCACAAGGCCTATTATCACCACCTTTAGTGCGACTTTTGATCTTACGAAGGTCATCATCTGTGCGTATAGCAAAAGCAGTTTCACCATCTCGTTCGCGCACCAGAATAGTGGCATTCCGAACCCAGACGTACTTCTATTGGTGCAAAGTGGCGAGATCTCTGGTTTTACGAAATAATTGTTTTTTCTTCAGTGTAAGATGCTCGTTCATATATATGGTCATTGGCAATCCGGAGAGATCTAGCTGGTCGGTCTTGAGAGTTTTCACCTTACGGAAAGCCGCAAGTACGTTGTCCCGAAGGATGCGTGATGATAGTTTTACAATAACATTTTTCGGCCATTTTGTTTGATGGTGAGCATGGGGAACTCTATGGATTGACAGGATATCTCTCTGAGAAATCGGAAAGTTAATAGCCGTACTAATTGATCCCATTATGTTCAACAAGTTTTCACTGCGAGTTTCAGGAATGTTACAGATTTCGACGTTGCATTGTCTGGCTTGTTGCTCGAGGTACTCGATTCTGTTTTCCAAGGTGCTAATAGTTAGGCTAGATTGTTCGGTAGATTTACGTATTGTGTCATCCACTTTTTTTTTGAGATCATCTTGTTCCCCGGAAAGAAACTGCATAGATGCTTTTAATTCTGAAACATCATGGGATATATCAATAGTTTGATGCTTTAGACGCTCATGTTCAGCACGAAGGGTGCATATCTCGTCCCTGAATCCATTTAAAGCAGATTTTAAATCATCATTAAGTTTAGTTATACTCGCCTCCATCTCATATCGCCAGTCATGTAGTGAACTCTTGATATTCTCTTTGAATACAGTTAGTGTATTGTTCATGTCGCTTCGCCATTCCTCAATGGTCTTATGAAGTTCCTTTGTGAATGTATGGAAAGTAACACCCGTCTCCAGGGCAACACAGTCAGGGACTGAAGCAGCTGGTCTAGTCAGAGTACAGGGACTGTTCGATGAGATGGGTGCTTGGCCCTCGGTTTCATATGACATATTCATGTTATCGTCCAAAGGTATTTGCGTGGATCGCACAGGCGTAAGCAAGTTGGATCGTCCACGACGGGTAATATTATTGCACGAGGGACATTTCCAGGTTGCCTTAAATTCTTCTGTCAGTGAGGAATATTGTTGATGCTTAATATTTAGGCATTCAATGTGGTAGATTCCTTCACAGGCATGACAATTCAGCAGCCGCGCCCCCGACTTGCAGATTGTATTACAACCAGCGCAATTCATTTTTAAGAAGCAGTAGTTTGTAATGTTATTATTGTACACTGTAAACACAAAGAGCGCCACCTTTTGGTGGCACAGGAACTCAATCGATGTAAGTATCAAGAATTGAAAATAGTAGTACCGATGTCAGACGACAATAATTTGTCCTCAATATAAGCATAATCAGATAGATGACGTTATTTATAATTTTGTAGAAGAGATCAACGACATTGATTCAAAATCAAAAGTAAAAAATTTTTACTACAACCGTCAATATCACACGATGAAACGTTTTTCAAAATACACTTAATGTATATAGTAATATATTGTTGCACTTTGGTTTAAAAGTTATTAACACTGAAATTTATTAATAATTAACTTGAATTAACACAACAATACTGTTATTTATAGTGTCCACAAATTATATTTAATATCGTTATTTCCTACACTTTTCGTGAATGAGAAGACGTTATAACACTTGCACATCACTATTAGGGTTTCTACTTTGCACTAATTAATATTTTAGTTTATCTAAGCTGTTTTATAATTTTTAATAAAAGAAATACACGGAGCTGATTTTAACCGTGGCAACTAGCGCCATCTGTATGTGATTATATTTAATATTATATACGATTTTTTTTATAAGGGTGACATCTATCCTCGTTTGGGAATTAAAATGCAAATGCGTTCTCAGCCGTGAGGACCAAGATGGAATGCCTCTTTTCCATTAAAAAAGGGTCTCCGGTTCTCTTCACTCATCATACGGAACACAGGGTCCTTCCCCGGTCGAGCCGACCCATTCGTGCTACAACTATACGATTAATAAAGCTGCAACATGGCGCTACCACGTATGAAAATCTCTTGCCAAAAATGTTTATTTATATTACATCCTACTGCTTCTGAAGTGATTCTTAGATCATACGCCTGGATTCAAATTTTGGAATGGTTTAATCCTGGTGCCATTGGTCCAGGACATACAGGGCCTGGTCGCCATTTTTTACTGAAAGTGCGTTGCTTACTCTTATTTTGTAATATATTTAAACATAATATATTATCTTTATATATAAAGCTTAGGAGTCCTAAACTACTGAACTGATTTCAATGAAATTTTGCACACTGTGTGCGTTTTGGTCCAACTTGAGAGATATGATAGTTTTTATCCCGATAAATGACCCTCAACATATTTTATTGCGTATTTAAGGATTTTTATAGGAAGGGTCGTTGGAAATGGCAGAACAACGTCTGCCTGGCGAGCTAGTTTATTATAATTTATTCCAAACATTTTGCACGGGATTGCCTGGTTCTTGTTGCACGCCTTACCAACGCGTGCGCAAAGCCAACACCAAGAGTGATAGTCCGCCTAAAAAAGTCAGGGTGAGAGGTGCTCTCCAAACTTACGTAACACTCATCATTTGTATTTTCACGCGGTTAGTTCAGTTTTTTTTTTTTATATAGGGTAGGGTGACAAACGAGCACACAGTCCACCTGATGGTAAGTGGTTACTGTGACCCATAGACATCTACATCTATCATCAATAAAGACTCAAGATGCAGATGCGTTGAGTTGTAACATCTTTTACAAATAAAAAATTAAAGGTTGACTGGTAGAGAATGCCTCAAGGCATTAGGTCCATCCTTTGTATTCTTTTGTTTTAAGGAATGCAATAAAGAATAAATAAATAAAAAAAATATATTTATTAAACTTACAGTAAAGACGACTATCTGAGCTATGACAACCACAAGCGATTTTCCCATGCCATACTCAGACATTGTGTAATGGTTGAACCATGCACCGTACTCCAGAGACCTGTCTGGATAAAATATTTCATAATTATACCAGGCCTGTCTCACACCGCGCTTTAGGCATGAAAACATACCTACGCTGCGCGGCCCCGCATGCGGGGCTAATTCCGTGAGGTTGTCACGCGCGCACTCGAGTTGACGCGCGCCTTACGTTAACAAAAAAGTATTTTTCTCTTATAAGTATTTAGCCATTTTCGACATTTATTTTTGAGTTTTTATTCAAGTATGACCTCTCAAAAAGCTAAAAGGTGCTGCATATCATGCAGGTACTTAAATAACAATATATATGTCGACTTTTCATTCTTTACTGTGTTGTTATTTGATCTTTACTGTATTTTTATTTATAGGTAGATCTAGATAATTAGGTACTTAGTTCCTGACGTCATAGTCACAGATTTATTATTTGATTAGCGTCCCGACAACAGCTTCGCAGTTTTCGATTTTTTGCGGATAATGCCAATGACCTTGAAAAATGGTGTTCAATATATGTAGACCTCGCAGTGCTAATGACTACCTACTAATGCAAGATCAGCATATACTGGTTTAAAATAACAAAAAATGTGAAACAAACAAGTGACGGCTCCTTAGCACAGTGGCTTAGTAAGATGAAGCGCTAAGGGCTTACAAATAATTGTTCTGTGTCTGTTCTATGTATGTAAACTGTCCCTGGGATACAGGAGAATATCCTAATGTGGATGTAACGTTTCTTTAAAAAGAAAGGAAGAGAGACAACTAATGAAATTAAACATTTTGTACAACCGACTTCAATATTAATACGCATTATTAAGGATGACTCCAAAATTACTGGTCAGATCTTGATCAATATTTATATGGGATGTATAAATTTTAAGCACCAGTTTTCAAATAAAAAAAGAATCATCAAAATCGATTAACCTAGAAAAAAGTTCTGCTGATTTTAACACACAAACAAAACAACAGTAACAAACAACAAAAAATACAGTTGAATTGAGTACCTCCTCGTTTTTTTGAAGTCTGTTAAAATGGTAAGTAGGTAAATTATCTGAGTTTCAAAGACATTCACGTTGTTATAATCTTAATTTTCCTCAATTTTGCATATTAACCTTCCTCACACTGAACAATGATGTTTTTATAATCAGCAAATTGCCGGCTCCGTGGCGCAGTGGCTTAGCAATGAATTGCAAAGCTGGGGCCGCGGGTTCGAATGCCACACGAAACAAGTTAGTATTTGTATGGCCTACATATAATTATTTCGGGTCTAGATGTTTGTTCTTGTACAATGTTTAATAAATGTTTGTAAACCGCCTCTACGATACAGGATAAAATCCTAGCGTGGGGGCAACGTTTTTTTTTTAACAAAATAAATAAATACTAATACGTTACTTCAGTATATTCTACTACATGCCAACTAATATCAAAGGATTCAATTTGTTTTCTCACAACACCTAACCCTACAGTAGAGGTGGCCTTAACAAAGGCGCGTAACGGGCTAAGTGATACATACACTAGCATGCGGACGAAAGGTGCATTTTGATTTACTCGTAATACGCGTGCCGCACCAATTTAAGTTTCGAGTAGGCTAATTTCACGAAGGTCGCTTCCGAGGCTTGCAAAGTATTAGAAACATTAGCAACGTTATAACTAGGTTTAAACTCGCAAGTTTGCTATCAGAGAGTGACCCTTCTGTTCTTGTACTATTATTTATTCTGTGGTTAAACTTAAAATTAATATGTATTACGTATAAAAGGGATTCCGAGACTTGGATGTTTGCAACACATGTTAGAGAGCCCGCGAGCTCAAACTTACTCTATGCCACAAAAATATATTCTGTGCCTCCGACCACGCTCCTCGCCTTGCCATACAGATTTTGCTCGCGGTGTCTGTTCTAGTACGTAGTACATTATATCGTACCCTCAGGGAAAAAAAAGCATAAGATGAAAATTGCAATTTTACAGGAGAGCAAAAAAACTCTTAAAATACCTATTACTTTTTTTTCTGTAGACGAAAAATTATGTTTTATACATCCTTAAACAGATAAAAAAATACAACACAATATGAATATGTTCCTTTATTATTTAGTTTTATTATTTTATAAATATATGGAAATTAATATGTTGTGCTACTACTCGTTATTAACTCTGAATGCTCCGTTATAAATATTAGCGTTTATGTACATCTTCTCCTACAATTAACTAACTGTAATAAAAGTAAACCCTTTAACAATTCTATTGAATTTATAAGCAGTATACTTTAGAAGAGCGTAAATATTTTTACTGCATTATTTCCTTTTAATATTTGTTGTTTTTACTCAATAACCTAAACTTACGATTTTATTTCATTTATATATAATATAGGTGAACTTTACTGAACAATAATACCACTCTATTTAGTCTATGAAATGAATTTATTTTTTGTATATCTGGAGTTGGTACAAAATCAGTTAATAATATTGGCAAAGCAAAAAAGGGTTCATTTATATTTTGTAACCAATTATATATTTTTTAAAAGTTATAAAGATATTTCAAAACAAAATATATTTGCATTTCTACAACCACAATCAAAATATTTAAGGCACACTATTATTTTAGTAATAAAACTACTTTAAAAGTATTACAATTTTAAAGTGTACACGTGTGTATACCACTTATAAAAACAAAAGTTTGCGCTTCTACAAATATTATTAAATTGCTATTAAAGTTCTTATACCTATATACAAAATAACTATAAAAGTAACAGTGATTCGCCCTTAGACAATTCGAGCACGTTAGGTGCTATTAAGTGTTTAAGAAAATTGTTTTACAAACTTTGAGTTTTGTTACGTGTCCTACATTATTTTTCATTGGCAAATAATATATCAAAGTTCGATTTCTTTCCCGTTGTCTCTGAACTTTAATAACTTTAGGTTCCTTAATTTCCGTGTTATTCAAAATAAAATGCCACTGAATCTCATGACAGCCTGTAGCCCAAAAATATTCAAATAAGTTCAGTCTATCTTCATGTTGAATAGTTTCAATCACTTCAGCCTACAGACGCAAGGATTTCTCATACATTTTTGTGGCTGTGCGCCTATATTTCGAAGTTTCTTTGTTTTTACTTTTGTCCACGTGTCCATGATTCTTTGTCTTTTTCTAGGCTTGTGGTTACCCTTAGTCACTAACAATGGCTAAGACACAGTAGCTTCTATTTCCGAAGCTACGACTATATTATTTTCTGAGATGATGGGAGGCGTTGGAAGGTTAGTTATATTAGCTGAAGCGACAGATATATAGCTACATGGAAGAATTGGAGCAGTAATTGTTTCCTCGTGGTTGTTATTGGATATCGACTCTAGGACAATTTCATTTGGCAAAGGTGCAATACCGTCTATATAAGGATCTTCTAAATTATAATATTGGTTGATGTTTTCATCTTGGTTTAGCCTTTTATTGGAGGTGTTATCTATTTCTGGTCTAGTGGTTATGGTATTAGTGGTAGGTATTGACTTTTGGGGACTTGGTAAAAAATAACTGTCGGTGAAACTATGAAAATATTTTAATCGTTCTGGTTTTTGGTTGTAAATGGGCTTGATAAAAAAGCATCTTCGTTAAAACTGTAAATTAGATCCTTCAACAACGATGACGTCATAGGATCTTTAAAATCTCGAACCGGACTGGATCTAGGGCTTTCATCTAAATGTGGTAAATATTCGGAGACTGCTGGCGAAAATGGCTCTTCATTTGATGACACACTCAGTATATAATTTATCGAGGATCGTCTACAACTGCGACTCGTAGAAGGTTCATTGTAAGAGTTATCATGTGTCACTGAGTTGTTGTTAGTTAATTGATTTTGCTTATTACAATCTAAAAAAAATACTATAGTATTATATAACAAATAACATCCTTAGGCCTTTTCCCTCGTTTGTAGCTAGTAAAAATTTATTATATTAATATGTAGGCAGATTTGTTAGAACTTAAATCGCATGTAACTGAGAGCGAACCTATAGCCTTTTGAATAAAACTATTTTTACGGATTTCATCGCGTTTAATTTACTTATTTTATATTCCCGACGTTTCGGTTGCTTTCCAGCAACCGTGGTCACGGGGGACTGAGGTGATTGACGTCCCGATGTCAAAGTTAACCCGGAGTACCTTCAGCTTTTTAATTAGGTATATAAAGGTACTAGGTTTATAAAGGTACTCCGGGTTAACTTTGACATCGGGACGTCAATCACCTCAGTCCCCCGTGACCACGGTTGCTGGAAAGCAACCGAAACGTCGGGAATATAAAATAAGTAAATTAAACGCGATAAAATCCGTAAAAATAGTTTTATTCAATGTGTAGTGTTCGCGTAAATATAAGAAAACTATAGCATTTTGCCAAAACTGATCCTAAACACAGCACAGTCCCTAAGAATTTCTTAAAACTACAATAACACGACTGAACCCGGGAATCGAATAAAGAATACCACTGTTTCGTAGAATTTTAATTGTTTAGGCACTTTAAGTTATAATTATATTATTTTCATTCTAATAGTAAAAAGCTTTAATAATCGCTTCATACGGCACGGCTGCAGGATGAGTCATAAATACGTGACTGTACATGTACAGTCACGTATGTAATTATATTACGTGTACTCTTTCAGAAACAACGTGGCCCTCTACTTATTTAAGTAGGTACCACTTCATGGCTAAATCCATAAGACCAAACAAGATAACACATTAATATGTATTCATAAAATATAAGACTAATCGTTTAATAGGTCCTTACAGTTTACTAATGCAGCGCGACTGTACCCGGTTGTGCATGAGGTATACTCTATCTGATTCTCCGGTCAGGTAGTAGGTAGTTTTTCTTTCGAGAAGTTCTAAGAACTATTGGTCCTAAACTCGGCCCTATGCCTAAGGCCGAGTTTAGGACCAATTTTGGAAAATGAAAATAGGGTCACTCTCAGTTATATGTGATCTAAGTTTTACCAAATCTATTAAAATGTTAATGTAACACCTCTACTTTTATTCAAATTAAAATACTATCTACTTTAGAACAGTTCAACTACTTACCTAATAAACCCAGAATCTTTTTTGATCTACTATTACGTTTGTGACTCGTTATTAAATTCGTTATTTTTTAAATATATCATCAGTTAATATTATTTCGTAAACGAAACGTGCAATGCTGACAGTATCCAACATACATGCATACGCTCTAAGCTTACAGCATACCATATTCAAAGTACTCTGTGCAGCATACACTAGCGAGTTACATGCCGCGAGTGAGCGCGAATATCACTCTGCCCCTTCGGCCCACACCGACTTATTCACGTTTACTCGCGATATTATAGAATTGTATAGACGTATTATTACTTACTTCAATAACATATTTTTTTTTCGAACGAAATAACGCAGTAATCGTTCTTATTTAATAAGATCTTCGTAGTTAAAAGAAGTAAGTAGACATAATGATGTTCAACTATTTATTAATTTGTGGATGAACATCATAATCGCGTGTAATTAAGTAGCGAAGAGAAAGAAAAAGCGGATAAAGACCATTATCATATTTATTTTATTTGTCTATATAACTTATCGTACATATGAACATCATAACTGTTATAACGTTTAAACAAACATCAACATTTTTGCGTATATTCACTTATTCCGTTATTTACCAATTAAAAAATCTAAACTGTCAAACGATATAAATTATGTTTTCTAGCATAAAATCGCCAAAATTAATGATAAAAATATGAAAAAAAAATGAGCATATGTAACTTTCGTCGCTCTTTTCAATCATATTAATAACTAAAATTCAAAGTAATACTACTTATGCTTTTCTTCCCCTGAGGGTACGATATTTATTCAATGATAAAAACAGTCACAATGATAATTAAATTTTTACCAATATATAGTTACTAATTTTTAATGACTTCATGTTAAGGTCATTTGAGGTTAGTTCTTTTTTTAAATTTAGTGGGAGGCGGCAAATAACTCAAATTTGAACATGATTTGAAGTTCGCTGCCGACACAATCACAACCACTAGGTTGTGTATGTACTGTTGTTTTCTAGTATATGGTCCTTGCTACTAGGCAAAATAAAATAAAGGCTGAAATACGGTCCCGAGTATCAAAAACTTCGAAGTTTCATAATCGCCGAAAAACATGCTTATAAACGACCACACCAGGCTCTATTTTGACCGGGCACATAAGCCTGAGATTGTGTTGATGGACCAGGCACACTCAATACTTTTGGTTGACATTACCATTCCATTTGACAACAATCTCGTGAATGCTGAAACAGACAATAAAACAAAATACACGCGGGGTAGTTTGTCGACATAAATTATTCCTGTAGTCGTTTCTACAAACGGGCTAATCCCGGTTAGCCTCTCGGGTCATCAGACGCTTGGTTCTGGGCTGTTCCGGGCTCAAATGCAGAAAGTGGTGCTCGCCCGCATCGTCCGTTGGTTCCTTTCCTTTTCCCCTTAACCCTCGGCCGTGTGGTCTCCTCTGCCAAGGGGTTTTGTCTCTTACAGTGGGGACATTAAAGTAGTTCTTATAGTCAGGTGGTATTAGATTATAAATTACTCCAATATATTAAAAAAGAAAAGCATATCGCATCAAAGAGTAAAAAAGGACAACTCACCGCAACATATACTTGTATCGAAATTATTCGGTAAAACGGTACGGGCTGGGCAAAATTGATAGTAATGAGAGCAGTACGCGTTGAAACGTGAAACGTCCGTCATCTTTTTGATCGTCTGCGTGAACATGTGCGGCGGAATCAGCACGCCGATATTGTTTAAAAAATTGAAGAAAATTCCAGTTTTTAGGGGTACACCGAGTGCTTCAAATCCAAACATCACCAGTGGAGTAAATAAACCTAAAAAAAATCAAAAACAAAATTAAAAAGGACAATTTAAGTATCTGATACTATTGTTACGAGCTTGGGGTTCGAGACAATTAAAGACTGCCGTTTGAATTACCAAAATTGACACTTTTATTACAGAACACTAATTACAATCTAAAACCACACTAATAATAAAACACAATTGTACTACTGATCACTTTAGTTCGCAGTTGTATCGCTTCGAAGTATTCGCTTATATCGCCAATTCAATACTCACTCGGTCGTGGTTCGTGGTCTATACCGGCTTTATATAGGGCCTCAGATAGTTTCCAGAACCTTCTACTGTAGAAACATCTAGAATGTTCGAGTACATATTGGTCCCGATATTTCTAGAAGGATCTTGACTGTCCTAGTTCTGCTTCTCGACACTAGAAGGCGCTAGTGGTAACTAGTGTTGCCATGTACAAGACATTAATAGTGGCACGCAACACTATTAAAATATAAACTGCATCGTTTGTCTAGTCATAGTGAGTGCGACTGCTGATTAAATATTACTTGTTTCGAATGTTAGGTCGGGAAAATCAATTATTATTTGCTATCAAGAAATTCGAGGAAGTTGGGGGTGTTTTAATCCTCGTAAAACCGTTGGTCTGCGCATGATCTCCATTCTCCATTAGTGTCGTATTGTTAGAATTAGGAAGTGGCGTAAGATGTGACAGAGAGAAATGAAACAAGAGACAGGCCGCAGCAACTTTCTGATAACAATTCAAAATAATACAAAATCTGCAGTTTCCAACGCGCATACCAAACGTGGCAACTGTGACAAAATCTCTCTATGAGGCAATTTAAGGGAAAGGGAGTCTTCTATGTACGGCAGTCGACATTTGATAGGCTGAAATGAAATTTAATGATGATTGAGAAGCATAAAATAATTCGCCTGACAAGCGTGTTGATAAGCCAAGTCTTGGTAGGAGAACAAAGGGTAGGCTCATGTCCATGGCTGACGATGAAGAAGAAGAAGAACTGGAAACTACCCAGATCTGTGAAGAATTGGAAAAAAAATTAACTTGTCAAGTGTAGCAAATACGGCAAATGCTCTCTGCAGTGAAATATGACCGAATACTCAAACGCTGCTCAATTTTAAGAAGCCGCTAAGTCTCGTGGTGTCACAGTCACTTTGACTTAAAGTGATAGAGACAGCACGACATTTAACGGCATCTTAAAATTGAGCAGCGTTTGAGTATTTGAGCAATAGAGTCATGAAAAAACTCTGCCTTAAATAATTCTCAATATTTCATACTAATCAGCCCAAGTGCAGATGAAATTCAAAAAAAAAATTATTTTTAACTAACTTACTTACTAAATAACAAACTACATTAAAAAAACTGACTAATTAAAACCTATATTTAAAAAATCAACTCACCAAATATAATCACGAGTGTCAAAAGAATCACCCCAGTAGTCTTCTCGTTGAAGAAATAGCTCAGAAAATAAGCGAATACATAAAAGCTTATCCCGCAGAGAAAAAGTCCGAGGAAATAGGCTTCTGAAAATAACAAGCAATAACACAATGCTCTTCTGCAAATAAAAACCGGCTAAGTGCGAGTCGGACTCGCGCATGAATGGCTGCGTACCATCGTAATACACGTTTCTAGTAGAGGAGCCCCTTTTAATTTTTAATTAATTTTAATTGTTATTATTTATTGTTATAGCGGCAAGAGAAATACACATTTAGTGAAAATTTCAACTGTCTATCTATTACGCATCTTGAGATCTTTTACTTAATTGTTGGTCTTAATAACCTGATCCTGTATTGCACAGACAAAACCCTTGGTTTTCCCAAAGAGGTCACCGAAACGTAGCCAGTGGATGGAGGCGACTGTGTCTACAAAAGGCTCATGTAAAGCCTTGTAGAACCTCCCGTGGAGCTCCTTCTCCTTCCACACGGTCTCCCGGTCGGAAATGCTCTGTAATGCAGGATCTTGCCATTGCTCGTTGGCTAAGGATAGAGGGGTAAGTCCTTTATCACAAGAAATAACGTCCCTATAGAATGGACCATCTGCTCTCGTCAGAAAGTAATTACGGAGGCTGCAAACTTCGCTATTATGCATGGTAAGCAGACAGATAGACGGACGGACGGACGGACAGCGTAGGCTTAGTGATAGGACCCCGTTGGTTACCGTTTGGGTACGGAACCCTAAAAAGGGGCATAACCTCTCTGATCCGTGAGAGTGCTTTTAAGTATCATGATATGATTCTGTTTAATGAACTTCACAACATGTCTTAGAAATATTTTTTCTTATTTATCAGTCATGCAGGTTTCCTCACGATGTGTACTTTCACCGCCGAGTACGTGGTAAATCAGCACTTAAAATTGTAGTCGAGCTCTTAGCCCCTGAATTACCACTACTTTTTGTTTTAATTGAACGTGTATATCAATTGTGCGTACTCTTTGGTTTAATCGAATGAAACGATTGTTTATTGATTTATTTGTAAAAACGCATTGATTAATAATTAAATTTTAAGACGCATTTAAAAATTCATCGTATATACATAAGCAATGCTGCGACGACATTCAGGCGCCCAGAAACTTGGCTCTCGCTTTGCCGAGTCGCAATGAATGCAACTAAAAGAAAAATAAAGAAAAATAATTGTCTCTTTTGTGAATGTGAATCGTGTTACCGAGTAAAACATCTATTAGGAATAGATTAATTGAACTGCAATAACCTGCTACTCGATATATGGACAGATAGTTTCTTACCAATTCTACTTCAAACCGCTACACGTTCAAAGAAACCATCGCCGACGAGGGTGTTGACAGATTATAAAAATTTACTGTATTTTAAGCAAATTTTAGTAAAAAAATATTTTTAATATATTTTAAATTATAATAAATTTTGTATTCAATATGATACTGAATATACACAAGACTGACAAGCCCTACAATTTTCATCGGTTTTAAAGTTATTTAGTAATTTGCCATTAAATTTAATTGACATCGGATTTCAAGCTAACTTGTTCATTCCATCAAATAGATATATAATAAGAAATCATTACTGATCGCTGCAGTTCTCAGCTCTCAGAAATCTGATACTGTTGTAAACGTCACGGTCTTATAACAATATATCTTTTTTTTTATAAATAAATTGTATAAAGATTATACTTACTCAATGTGGCACTATTGTTCAAAGTGTGATCAGTATCAAAAAACGCTGCAGCGACCATAGTGCCACTGCAGTAGAGCAACATGTAACTTGTCATGTGATACACGAGGGTGACGATCCAGTACAGTACGGGAGGGCAGCCAGCCATTATGTGTAAGTACCTCGAATTAGTTATTCGTTCCCTACACGGTAGTGCTACGTCATTAATGGCCGTCGCCATTATAACTGCAAACCAGATAGAAACTGCATAAGAAAAGTCATAATCATATTAAGTCATCTTGTTAATGTCGTAAGAGCCAACTTCATAAATTAAATGTGCACAATTAATACTAATATATTACGAAAAATTTTAGTTTCTTTTATTTAATTTATTATCACGTTAGTTTATGGGAATTTCAAGCTTTATTCAAAATTTCTAGCTCATCAAGAAGTTATTTATTTATTTATTGTTCATTCCATTCCTTAATCTAAAAGAATACAAAGGGCGGACTTAATGTCTTGAGGCATTCTCTACCAGTCAACCCATGGAGTGCTGAGAATTTGAAGTAGGTGTAGCAATATAGAATAAAAACAAAATAAAAATGATAATTAATTACGTTACATATACATTTCACTAATATATACAATAAATAAACTATAAAAATATCTCCTATTTATGCATGTATACAAATATATACATATATTCATATCAACATACATATACAAATCTATACAAAATACATTTTTTAAAGTTTTTGTCTGTCTGTCTGTCTGTTTGTTTGTTCCGGCTAATCTCCGAAACGGCTGGACCAATTTTGACGGGATTTTTACTGGCAGATAGCTGATGTTACAAGGAGTAACTTAGGCTACTTTTATTTTAGAAAAAGAATTAGGGTTCCGCGCAAAAAAATTAAAACCCCAAATAACACGCGGGCGAAAGTCGCGGGGAACAAAAGTAGTCGGGGGGAAAAAAAAGTAGTACATATAAATAACTATGAATGAATATACGTCTAAAAATATAAATGACATGGATGATTCATGTAAGAAGCGTTGTCTTTAATAGATGATAATGCACCAACTTAAAGTTAGTTTAAAATCAATTACTAAATTCCACCCGGAACGAAAGACAAATATGAAAGTGACTTAATAAAAACGTGGCAAAATAGTACAATGGTTTTGTTTAGCTTTTTACTATAGTAGTAATGGTGACAAACGAGCTCAGCCAACCTGATGTTAGTCGATGCTGTAGTGTAAACACCTACAACTATACTAGATGAAGACCAAAATGCGGAATGCGTTTATTACCCTTGAGAAATTAGATGGAACGCCTCGTTTCCCTACTTCTCATTATTTACCATACTGACCACAGAATTATTTTGCTATTTAACGCTATTATTCTGTAAAAGTGCCGATGTCCTAACCCGATCGAGAGGACCCATACGAACTGCAACCATAATATAACTGCACGTTGCTTTATAAAATGTGTTATTTAGGTATTAGGTACTTATTTGGGCTTATATTGTCAAATAAGCTCCATTTCTGGATAAGTTTCCGTCATGCCCTTAAATAAATGTAGGTAAAAAAAATTGAGCCTTTGATAAAAGATTTTAAAGTTAAGAGTATTTAATCAACTTCAAAAAAAGAAGAACGTTCTCAATTTGACCATACATTCTTTTTTCTTATATTGTATGTATTTTGCGCGATATCTTCGCCAATTGTGAACCGATTTTAATGATTCATTCTATAAATAAAATTGAAGAAAAATAATTCCAGTGCTAAGAATGAAAAAAAATAGTGAAATGTTTATTCCATAGTCATTCAGTCAGAGTCAAAAAATTACAATTCACATAAAATGTAAAAAGGGGACTTCAGAGAACTACAAAAAAGCGTGTAATAGATTCTGAAGGGTTTAATATTTCCTAAGCTATTACGTGGGTATTATTAGGCTGTTACTTTTTATTAAAAGCCTAATTTTTTACCGCGTAGTGGCGGTGTAACAATATCCACTACCCAATATCATCCCGTGAGTGTCGTAAGCAATGACAGAGGGAAACAAATCAGAAGACGGGCAGCAGCGTCTTTCTAACATCGACTAAAAATAATAAAACTGCGGGTGCCAACCCGCTTACCAAGCGTGGCAACTATACCAAACATCCCCCTTATGAGGCAATCTATGGGGGAGGCTTATGTTCAGCAGTGGACTTTAATAGGCTGCGACGGTAACAGCAATTTTTCAGAAAACTAGTATTCAATTTAATTCAAAATTGGAATCGATACGAAACTACAACTAATGAACACTAACACTAGAAACATCGCCCCGTGGGTGAATATAAACTTACTGAAAATATTGAAAATGACAAACAAAATACAATTGATTTCGTCTTTCGGTTTCATCGACGGCCAATGTCCAAAAACTAGCTGCATGTTGATAGTCTTGCCGTCTCGTTGAAGACGCTGAGAAGCGATGATATTGCTAAGTAGGTTGAGACCCACGGCAGCCGAGTGCTTGACTGTTGGATCGTAACGCAGCGACGCTCCCTGTTCGTCTACGTACACGTCAATTATACTCCTTGTCAGTAGGGCCTTCGATTGTTCTTTACATTTCTTGCAGGTGCAGCGTTTGTCTAAAAAAAAAATAGTATAATCACTAACTGACCTGGCAGACGTTTTGCACTTTACGTAGATCGTGCCATAAGTTTTACTCCAATTTTTTTTAATAAGTATTAAAATGAGCACGCAGTCTACCTAATGGAAATTGGATGCTGTGCCCATAGAAATCTACATTTAACCTCGATTAAGAACCAAAATGCAGATGCGATGTCACTCCTGAGGACTAAGATGGAATGCATCGTTTCCAATGAAAAGGGTCTCCGGTTCTCTACACTCACCACACGAAACACAACAGCACTAAGCTGCTATTATACGCTGGTATTTTCTGAAAGAGCCGACCCATTCGTGCTACACATATACCACTTCATAACACTTTTATAATCACACAATATTCAACAACTATCATTAAATAATTAGAACATGGATATACGCACTATGATTTCTATTCGTCTCTTGTAATATTAGATTAGGGTAAAGATTCCTTATTGTATCTATAGTCTTTACAATATCCGGTGAGTTGCTTCGATAGTTGTACGTGGCTACAGGTGCGTCTACTTCACTGTACACGTACAGATCCATAACAAAAAACTCCTTTTCATTTGCGTTGGTAAACAGTTGTGTTAGGAGGATGCACATAACAAAAGGAACCAAGAATTGCTAGAAAAGATAAACATTTTTAAAACAAAGCTTGTTTATTTTTGTATAACAAATTGAAATGTAACGAATTAAAAACAGAACGAATTTTTTTATAACAGGTGGTAAAATTAAAAATTTTGTTCAACCGACTTCAATTTTTATATATAAAAATTACGTGTCACGTTGTTTGTCCGCGATGAACTCCTAAGCTACTGAACTGATTTCAATGAAATTTTGCACACTCTGTGCAGTTTGATCCAACTTGAGAGATAGGATAATTTTTATCCTGATAAGTAACACTAAAAATTTTTTTATTACGAATTTAAGGATTTTTAATATGAAGGGTTGTCGATAAGGGCAGAACAACGTCTGCCTGGCCAGGTAGTATAAATATAATTTGTTGTTGATTTTTTTTAAAACCGCTCGACCGTATTCTATAAAATTTAAAAGGAATCACCAAGGAAGTATATCCTTTGAAACAGAAAAAGATTTTTCAAATCGGTTCAGGTGTCTTCGAGTAATCGGTGAACATACATGAAAAAAGATCCCGACGAATTAAGAACCTCCTTCTTAATTCGTCGGGATTTTTGAAGTCAGTAGAAAATATGGATTCACGCGTTTTACAGATTTTATTTAGATTCACAAGTTTGGTGCAATTTTATTTTTAGTCTCTGTTAGTAACATTCTATGCAAGTCCAAAAAAATAACTCTATATTACGGCTAAAGAACAGGTTATAAGTATTGTATTGTATTAGGGAAGAAAGGTCGAGTAGTCTCTAGCGGCAGCCTTGTACCGATAAACGAATAAAGCCCCCCCCCCCCCCCACCCTGTATAGAATGACGAACTGGTAAGAGTTGAAGAAAGTCGATAGATGCAGGTGACTCGGGACTGTGCTTTGTTGCCGTCCTTGGGAGAGGTCTATGCTCAGCGGTGGACTTGTGAAGGGATGTATTTGTGGTAACGATTACGAATGTATTTGTGTTAACATAAAAAGCATTTTTCAACAACAAACAGGGGAAGGTACTCAACTCGACTGTATGTATTTTTTGTGTGTTACTTCATTACTTTTTTCTGGGTAAACTGATTTCGATGATCCGTTTTTTATTTGAAAGCTTGTGCTTCACATGCAGTGGCGGATTTACCAGCAGGCTGAGTAGGCTGGAGCCTAGGGCGGCAAATTTTAGGGGCGGCGAATTTGGGGCTAAAACTTTTCACTTGGTTGGTAAATTTTCCTACAATTTGCGTTTGGTTGTGACGCGGAAATGAGTGACATGACCGTTCGCTAAGTGTTTGATCGAAATGCCTGCCCAATGTAGTATATCTATGGAAACGCTGATGAATTGACTGAACGAGCGGGGCGCGGCCGTCGCGCGAGCCGTAGCAGGATCGTACTGTTGAAGGCGTACGCTGCGTGTTATCATTGAGTTCGAAACAGATAGATGTACATATTTACTTCAAAACCAAAAGAAAAGCTGCCTCGTTTGAATCCTGGTGCGATTTCTAAGACGTACTAATATTTATTCTCTGGCACAATTTTTTGGAAAATTACTTATTGGAAAAACGTTCTGAAGAGGGTTCTTGCCGTAGTATGATAATACCGCAAACATGTCTGGTGTGTGTACAATGGCTAAAATTAAAAGCCAAACACCTTTTGCTTTTTCCATTCCTTGCTCTTTCCTCTCTTGAAATTTAGTGGCAACTGCGGGTGCTGAATGTTGCACAGAAGCTTATCGCTCCTTGTTCTTTGTAGCTGAACGAGAAATTTTTAAGTATTTGCAAGAAAAAGTGATCGAATTAAGCGTGTCGAAGCAGTATGCAAAAAACGTGGGGGGAAAATACAACCGGAATGATGAGACACCTGATACAGAAATGAGAATGAGTTCAAGTGATACTTTTGGGGCTAATACATTTCTCGTCCTCATTGATAGACTCGTATCTAAATTAGAAAAACGCTAGGTGTTGGTTCAAAAAAAAACTTTTGATTTCGGACCAAAATCAACAACATCATCATAACCCTTACAGAAAAGCCCTTTTCTTGGAATAAATATGTCCTAATGATTTAGAGACTGACTTATGTAGTTCAAGAATTCCTACATTTTCAATGCCACGTTTCTTCTGAAAGAATTTTGGTGAAACCAGATTCTGGATCATTGAAAATTTTATCTTCCTTCCTGTGGAACCAGAATTTTCATAATGTTTACCTAAACTTGGATATAGCAGCCCACATGGATTTATTTCACCAGTGACAAATTTTTCGGGTGTTTAATTTTAAGTAAGAAAAGCTTTTCTTATTTAAAATGGCTGAAAAATTATCTAAGATCTACTTAAAGTCAACATCTCGGCATGCCAGTATCACTTCCCTAAGATACTTGCAAAACCAAAGGAACTTCTTCAGGGAGATTTCATGGCTCGAAAAATTACGTTATTCCTGTCCACGCGCAAAATACGCGCTTAGACGTGGAGTTGCGGAAAACAGCCTGTCGTAAACTAAACTACTTAAAGTCAAGAAAAGCTAAACACCTTAGCTATTTTGTGCAGAGGCAGAACTCAAAATTATTGAACATGATCTCATAAGACGATTGATGATTATTTTGCGAATAGAAAATTACGCAAAAAGGAATTTTAAAATTTTCTACTTGTAATTAAATATATTATTTTTAAACTGTAAGTAACCGCAATAAAAAATATTTAATAACGTTTAACGTTTAAGTAGTATTAAGGCATACCTTACCCCGCCTTATTAGAAGTACATGATTAACCTTTTATTAGCTCAGAAATATAGCCAAAATCTATTTCTTGTGCAATCTTAACTAAATCGTTGACTTGTAAAGATAATCTAGGAACTGACACATCGATTTAGGGTTAGGGTTTTTAAGTTTTTGCGCGGAACCCTAATTCTTTTTCTAAAATAAAAGTAGCCTAAGTTACTGCTTATGAAATCAGCTATTTGCCAGTGAAAGTCCCGTCAAAATCGGTCCAGCCGTTTCGGAGATTAGCCGGAACAAACAGACAGACAGACAGACAGACAAAAATTTTAAAAATTGTATTTTAGTTATAAGTACCGTATTTACTTTCATATGCATTTAGTAAAAAACTGTAATTTTGACATTACAAACACTTCAATTTTATTTATTTGTATAAACGAGAAAAGGGAGGTGTAATTAGAACGGTAATGCATAAATCATGAAGTTACAATTTCATTGACAAAAAATTGTAATTATTATGATTGTGAACTAGGGCATCGAATTGTAGAAGAACGGTAGGGGCGGCAAAATTAAAATAGCCTACTGGCGGCAAATGTGTAAATCCGCAACTGTTCACATGTGGTGTCATATAAATTCGATCAAGGTCTGAAGAATAGTTTTTGACTTATTCTTAATAATTTATATTGAAGTCGGTTGTACAAAATTTTTAATTTTAAATTACGAGTATGTTAAGTAAGCTATTTTTATAGAGGTTAGAACATGAGTGTTATGAATTCGCTCGCATCGTAACTTATCATTAATACTCGATTAATTACTAATGCCTTACTATCAGTAATGGGTTCCTCAGTATTTGTCACTCCCATACAATTACTCAGTTTCTTTTTTTTTTCAAGAATTAGGGTAACAAAGGACACACAGTTCACAATAATGGTAAGTGGATGCTGTAGCATATAGACATCTTCTCGATGCTCGATTAAAAATTAAAATGTAGATGCGTTGTCACTCTTTGAGGGCCAAGTTAGAACACCTCGTTTCCAATAAAAAAGGTCTGTGTTTCCCTACATTCATACGAAGCATAGCAACATTAAGCTGCTATTTTACGCTGGTATTTCCCAGTCAAGCCGACCCATTCGTGCTACAACTTTTTAGCTACAACATTGCTCTGCCACAAAAAAATAAAAGTTGTGTCTAGTTGGCTGTGTCTTAAAAAATCAGGTAATCAATAAAAATGTTCTAATGGAAATACAGTTTTTTTTTCATTCCTTATTAAAATCAGTAGAATAACCTCAAACAACTTACAATAAATATGAAAGCTACAAGTTTCGAAACCGTGTAATCAAACTGTCTCTTGAATAATTCCTTCATCTGTATTAAAATCAACTTCCGTCCCTTAGTATAGTTCAATTTATCTTTAATAGATAAAAAAGTCAAATTATAGATGTAACCAATGCCGTAGTTACAGTAGGGCCTCGATAAACCGAACACCCAAAATGTACACCCTGTTGGGATTAATGAGGCGTTTCGATTACAGTATGTAGGTATTATATCATCTTCAGGGTCAAAGCCATTCAGATCTTGGTCAAAGTTTCTTCTGGTTTGGGCCACAAAGGTTTGCAAGATTTTTTGATCAAGTTTAGGGCCAGAGTAAATATAGCATCTTCCTTTTTTTTAGAAATTCAGGTAATGTACATTCTGATTGAATGAATAATGTGTGTTTTTGTATATCAGATCCATTCCTTGAATTAAGGCTGTACTGCTAGGCGACATGTATAGAACAGTGAAATTTTCTTCAATAGACCGCAGATCTTCTGATCGACTGCAATATTCTGTGATACAGTGGCTTGCACGAGGGGGTCATTCGGATTATCGGGGGTTCGGATTATCGAGGCTCTACTGTATTATTGATTTTTAATTTTTATTTGGGATATCGTGTTTATTTGGGATTTAGTGATAAAAGAATATCATTCTACAGTTTCCATCGACTGTACACAGAATTTTTAGTACGGAGTAACTAAACATTACTACTTGTATTTTGTGTTTTGTTACTAGCCATACACAATCGTGTAGTGGCCTTGTTTATTATATTCCGTGGTAGTGACGGTGTAAATATAAGCTATACATATTCACTACCCCATATTGTCTCGCAGCTGCCGTAAAAGGCGACAAAGGGAAAATGAAACAGGAGATGGACAGCATCTTCTTGATAACATCTCATAATTATAAAAAACTACAGTTTCCACCCCGATATGAAGTAATCTATGGAGAAAGCGTATATCTGGCAGTGGACTTTTAGTAGGCTTAACGAATTAATTATCAAAAATAAAAAATACAAAAGTGCAAGCTCGAATCTTATCTACGAGTACGTAATAGATTCGTACCAATATCCACAATAATACCAGAGTAACTGGCACAGTGCAGTGGATGAACAAACTGAAATGGTAATAGCCCAACCAGATAGCTTGAAGAACCGTCAACGGATAGACTATGTAAGCAACTCCGCAAGTATGTAAAAGTAGAGTAGGGTAAGTAGGGTATAAATACATCAACACAATATAGGGATATTTTATATTTCATCAAATATCTAAAAATCTATGAAGAATTTTCTGATATAGTAAATGGAAGAATGATAGGTTATTTTAAGGTCTTTATAAAAAATAAAATGCATTTCGTAACTTTTTTATTAAATAAAAATGTTAATTTTCATAATCGTCGTAGAAAATTAGTATGATAAAAAGAACTTAATTTCTTCTTATAAAACTATTATAATCTTCATTAAAATTGAAACAATCTTATAAAATCTAATTATTAATAATCAGTGTTACCCCCTCTTACATTAATTACACATCGACATCGATTGTTAATACTTAAAATGAAATTGTTAATGTCTTATATCAATGTCCTCGGTATGAGGTCCCATGTTCTTTGCAAGTGTTCGTAAAGTTGTTGTTCCGTCGTCAAATTTGGCGGGAAATCTTTCACCGCTTTTCGTTATAACTGTCGCAGGCATGCTCGGTAGGATCGACTATACAAGCCAATCCAAAACTCGAATATCGTGGTCTCGGAGAGCGGCCGACAAGCCGCGGCGCATGGGAAGAAGCATTATCGTGCATGAGTAGAAATTCCTGGCCCATTTTGATTCTTTGTTGGCTAATAACAGTACTCTTCTACGTTCTCGTGGTATTTTTGTGCAGTCATGATGCCTTGAATCCAAATGAGCTGGATTCGTCCGCCAAGACGAATTCCTCCCACATAATGATTGTCCCGCCTTGGGATGAGATGACTTACTGGGGGTGCCGTAGATGGCTAACTCTCCATAGAGTTCTCCAAATGCGTGTTCTTCGTGAATTCGGATAAAACCAAAAACAGCACGAAAGACCATTCGTTGTTCGTCACTTAATGGTAAATGCTTCCGAGCCCACGAAAGCCGCCGACCGCGATTACCACGTCGCAGTACTTCCAGCATGAAGATTAACTTCATGCAACCTCCTTCGCACGGTTTGGTCGCTTACCAGCAGCTGATGGTCCTCCTGTAGCCTTTGTAGTAATTGCATCGCTGTGATATTGGGTTGTCTTCTGGCGATAATTTGGAGAAATCGATCCTATCTCTGCGTAGTAACACGACATCTTCCCGTGTGCCGTTCTTCTTCTTCACATCCCCAGTACTGCGATAACGTGACTATAACCTTGATATCACGTTTTGACTGGTGTGTAGGGCCTCAGCAACGCCGCGTTGAATAGCACCATTTTCTAACATGTTAACGGCTCGTAACATTTCATCCCGACTCAAATGACGACGTGACATGACACTTATAGCTCATGCGGCACGTTAAATTAAAAAAGAAAAACAATCTACTTAATCAAAATCAAAATCAAATATTTTCATTAATTAATATCAGTAGAACAATTTTAATTTTCCTTGACGTAAAGAATTACTAACAATTTTGCCGCCGTATTTTGTTTTTTTTTTTATTAACATTTTTAAATTTAGAAAATAGAATAAAAAAGGTTTCTAATCTGTATATAAACTTTTTATGGAAACTAAAAATATTTTAAACTATAAAGTCGTAAATAATTTAGGATTAAGATATCCCTAGATTCTGTTGATGTGTTTATTATATTGTCTAGCTGACTTTGCTATAAAATCATGAAACTTAGCATTTTCAAAGATTACATTTCTTTTCACTCTTTCTCTTTTAAGGTTACATTTCTGTCACCAAATAGCACTTCTGTATTCCCATCTAAAGATAAGAGAGCCAGCAAAACTACAAGATGTGGTGAGGCTTTTCATCTTAATCCCCAGAAGTAACAACGCATCTCTTCACATTTCATAAATATGCACACTTTGACAGTAACCGACGGATTATATGAAAGGCTGCAACGTTTAGATAATCGCACATAAGCGGGAATTCCTTCCTTCCACGTTCGTTAACGTAGCAATAAGAGCTTCTCGTTCCAGGTCTTCACGATGGAGGTGATTTGCGCGGTTTTGTGCACCTTGGTACCTAAAAAGATTATTTTTACATACCGGGGTTTGTTAGATGTTCTTCACGATCACTAAAAGTTTTAGTTTCGACGTCCGAACACAATCTAAAAGTATAAACACAAGTTCACGTTAGTACTATGTTTTCTTTTCATAAGTATTCGATATGAGTGTATTCAGAAGATATCGCCAGCCACCTAATATCAAATCAAGGTTTGCTTAGAAATATTGTTTGCAATGGCAAAATTTTCAATTTTTTCCTGAAGAAATAAACCTTCTTGTACTTTGTTAATAAAATTTTATAGAAAATGTCTTCACTTATTCAAATTCTTTCCACCGAGTGTATTATTTTTCAAGATGGCAGTACTCCGATTGTCTCCAGGAGTCCATGTGAATAAATATACCGTAAGACATATAGTGAGCCTATGTACTAACAGTGCGAATAGCAGTACTTGCACAGCTGTGTTCTGATCACAAGGGTATTATAGAAAACCAGTATAGTAGATGATAGACCCTTATTCTGTCTTGGAGTCCATCTTGGGCCCACTCTTACTTTTTTCTATCGTTGAATAGCAATGCTTGCACAACTAGCAGAGTGTAATTAACAGAGAGATAATTACAGGCTGCAAGACATTCCATCTTAGTCCTCAGAGGTGACAAGGCAGCCTTCTTTATTCAAAGTTAACTGCAGGTGTCCATGGGCTATATAAACCACCATCAGGTGGACTATAAGTTCTTTTGTCACTTCATTTAAATATATTGTTTTTTCTTAAAAAGAACAAGTACAAACATCCAGACCCGGAACAATTATTTGTAGGCTATACAAATACTTGTTCCGTGCGGGATTCGAACCCGCGGCCCCCAGCGCAACAACTGATTGCTAAGCCACTGCGCTACGGAGCCGTCAAATATATATATTATTACTAATAGTTACGAATAAATGTCAAAAAATAAGCTACAAATATATTAAGCTTACTCCATAAAAGCTTCTTCAAGTGACACAGCACCGACTCCCAGTGATTCAATACCTAGCGCAATTTTGTGGTATTCGAGACTATTGAAAAGACTCGTCATATCGGCGCCGGGTGGTAAGTCAAAGACGAGAGTCCGCAAGTTCTTGTCTTTCAAAATGGCGTCGGGTGACCCCTTTCGCATTGACTTAGTTATTTTGTCCACATCCGGTTCGTGAGCAGTTGTTATAGACACTCGGAAACCAGAACCTGAAGAGAATCCGCAAGTTTAAAGAACAACTTTTATATGTTTTATAACGAAGAAATATGACATACGTATATATAAATATATATATATATATATATATATATATATATATATATATATATATACATATATATATATTTATATATATGTGTGTGTCCATTATGTTAGACTGTAGGTTAGTAATAATGACCTCCAGACATAAACTTCGATCACGGCAGTCAGTCTCAATGCTGACTAGGGACACGATTTAAGTGCCTGAGTGAATGCGCAATCACAGGTGCACCCTCTAGTCCTTCGCACTCATAAACCGATGGGACGGTCATAATGCTTGTATGTTTTTAATGTAACATAACATAAATATACCAATGTTGGGCACAAGTTCTTAGCCAACTCTGTAAACGTTCTAGAGTAGAGAAGAATCTGCTACAGTCCAGGTTAAGATACAAATAAATTTCTTTTTCAGTTTCCCTCTGTCGCCTCTAACGATACTCGCGGATTTTATTTATTAAAACACGACGATCGGCATTACTGAAATTAAATTAATTATCTTTTATATTTTTTATAAAAGTAGGGGAACAAACGTGGTAATAGTATGCCTAGATTAGACGCCTACATCTACCTTCGGTTAGATATGTAACCGCAGAGTCCTTCTCCCCGGAGGACTAAGATGTCTTGTCACCAGTAAAAAAGTACTCCAGTTATCTACACTAATATACACAAAAGAACAATATTATCCTACTACACGCTAGTATCCTGTGAGAACCGGTGACCCTTTTTACTGGAAACGAGTCAGAACAAAAAAATGTCAGTTAGATCTTATTATTAAATTGAAAAATTGCTAAAACAATCTGAAAATTTGACTTTAACAGTTCCGTAACATTTGAATCTCCAAAAATAATAATCCATAATTAACAATTATTCTCCAAAATAAATTTGACAATTTTTTATAAATTATATATTCTCTCTCGAAACTCTTTTAACTCGTAATCATTGGAATATGAAACATTGCTTGTTAGAACCTACATGTGAGAAACTCCAAAGAAATGTCCCAGGCTAACTTTTTATGGGTATACGATTTATTGATGTGGGCGGGCTAGATTTTTTTCTGCCCGATCTAATTCATTACAAATAGCGCGTGCTTGATTTTGAGATTAGAAAGTTGCCTACGCAGTAAATACAAATTATTACAACTAAAACTCGACCGGGGTTCTCACAGAATACCAGCGTAAAATAACACCTTAATGCTGCTTCGTTTCGTATGGTGAGTGTAGAGAAGCGGATACCCTTTTTACTGGAAACTAGGCATTCCATCTTAGTCCTCACGTGTGAAAACGCATCTGCATTTTGACTCGTAATCGAGGATAGATGTAGATGTCTATGGGCCACAGCATCCACTTAGCATCAGGTGGACTGTGTGCTTGTTTATCACCCATATTCCATAAAAAATATATTAAATAACTTACCAACAGCTTTCTTCAAGAACGAGGGTGTAGCACAACAGCGTAAAGTGCCGGAATGCAAGGCAACAATGCGGTCTCCCAAAATATCAGCCTCGTCTAAGAAATGTGTAGTCATAATCACGGTGCGTTCGCCCCGAAGCATCTTGAAATCATGATCAATGGAAACCATTAAAATAATTCGCCATAAAAAATAAATCATGGCGGCTATGGTCATTGTACGGAGTAAGAGGATCTGTTATTGTCGCAGGGGGGTCGCATCATCCGAGGCGATTATGGGGAAATATCACAAAGATCAGCCGTACCAATAAAATTCCATTCTATTATAATGTGTGTGCGATGAAAAGATCTATGTTCGAAGTTATTCTGAGACGGCAATGGGCCGGCTATATAGCTTGAGGTACTGACAACCATGGTAGAGCCACGCCATTATACGTGGTAGAAACACGCTTTATTATAGTTGTAGCACGTATGGGTCGACTCGACCCGGTTAGGACTATGTTCTCACAGAATACCAGCGTAAAATAGCAGCTTAATGCTGGTGTGTTAAGTATGGTGAGTGAAGAAAACCGGAGACTTAGTTCTCAGGGGCGACAACGCAACTGTATTTTGATTCTGAGTCGTGGATTCCTAAATGCAAAATGTCTACGGGCCACAGCATCCACTTACTTTCAGGTGGACTGTGTGCTCATTTGTCACCCTAATTTTATAAAAATAAAAAAAACCGGTGGGTAATCCCCACTAGCTGGAGTGACGACCTGATGAAACACGCAGGTAATTGATGTAGTTCACTTTGGGCCATACATTGTGGCAATCTATGGGGAAGTATTATGTTCAGCGGTGAACTTGTTGTGGGCTATATTGATAGTGTAAAAACGCAATTTGCTTTGTTCTAAAAATGCTAACAAATGAAAAAAAAAAAGAACTATAACTGGCCGGTGCTTCTTTATGGTGTCAGTCGTAGAGTTTGGCGATCATAAGAGTTATAAATGAACCTAATTTAAAAAATATATTGTTGACTTTAACTTGACTGTGCCATATTGAAAAGAAAGGAAGACCTTGTAAAGCTGTAGATTTATGGACTAATAATAAAGAAAAACATAAATTAAGGCGATATAATATTTAATAAAAGCAAAAGTAAAGTTACAGCCTATATATGCCCCACTCCTGGTCACATGCCTCCTCTCATTCCTGAGAGAATTTTAGGGCAAGGAAGTGTCCACAGTCACATTAGGGCTCATGCGTGTTTGGCGGACTTTTTTATAGTATAAGGGTGACAAACGAGCACACAGTCCACCTGATGGTAAGTGGTTACTGTGGCCCATAGACTTCTACATCTATCTTCGATTACGAATCAAAATACAGATGCGTTGTCATCCATGAGGACTAAGATGGAATGCCTCGTTTCCAGTAAAAAGGGTCTCCGGTTCTCTAAACTCACCATACGAAACACAGCAACGTTAAGCTGCTATTTTACGCTGGTATTCTGTGAGAGCGTGATACTTCCCCGGTCGAGCCGACCCATTCGTGCTACAACCATAACATAGCTGCAGCATGGCTCTACCACGTATAACTTCACAGTTCTTCGAAATATTTCTTTTTCCATTTCTCAGACATACATTGTTGTCCTTTACTGTTGAGCACGTGGTAAATCAACACTTAGTTGTAATTAACAATTTCATTGGTGCCGCCGATATCCGAACCCGCGTTGCATGCGTACTGTGAAATTTGAAGGAATCCTAGCCCCTGACGACTCTTTAATTGTCTGATAACGATTAATCACTCGAACTATGTTGTAGCTGTATAAGAATATCCACTACCCCCCCCCCCCCCATATTGTCCCGTGGGTGTCGTAACAGGCAGAGGGAAATTGAAACAGGAGATGTGTTATGATGATGAATAAAAAAACTGAAAAATAAAACTGCGCTTGTCAACCTGCCTGCCAAGCGTCGTTGGCGACTATAGCAAAATGCCCCTTATGCGGCAATCTATGTGGTGACCTATGTACGGCATAGGTTCGACATTTATAAGCTATAAGGGTAACGGATTAGTTACTTATTCAGTCTGTTGCAAGACGGCGCTATCGTTATGCAACCACATTACAGCTGTACCGTAGTTCAACTATGGAAAAAATCATTTTTTTTATAGGATAGGGTGACAAACAAACACACAGTCTACCTGATGATAAGTGGTTGCTGTGACCCATAGACATCTTCAATAAAGAATCAAAATGCAGATGTTTTGTCCCCCGTTAAGACTAAGATGGAATGCCTCGTAGCCAGTAAAAAATGTCTCCGGTTCTCTACACTCACCATACGAAACACAGCAATGTTAAGCTGCTATTTTACGCTGGTATTCTGTGAGAGCGTGGTCCTTCCCCGGTCGAGGCGACCCATTTATGCTACAACTATACTACTAATATAACTGTAGC